GTCTTGCTCTCTCACCCAGGCTGGAGTGCAGTGGTATGATCTTGGCTCACTGCAACCTCTGCATCCCGGATTCAAGCGATTCTTCTGCCTCAGCCTCCTGAGTAGCTGGGATTACAGTTGCCCGCCACCATGCCCAGTTAAATTTTGTATTTTTGTGGAGACGGAGTTTCTTATGTTGGCCAGACCAGTCTCAAACTCCTAACCTCAGGTTATCCACCTGCCTTGGTCTCCCAAAGTGCTGGGATTACAGGTGTGAGCCACCACACCTGGCCCAATATGACTTTTTATATAAAAGTTATTAATCAAGATTATATAGTGAGTGAATCTGCAATGGATGAAGAGGTTTTTGGAGTGAAGCTGAATTGGTGTTTTGGATTTATTAGAAATATTGTACACAAAGAGCCCAGCAGGTAAAAGACCACTCAGCTAAAGTTTTCTGATAATTTTCATGGTCTGCCTGAAATAGAATGTGTTGTAGCAGATGACTTGTCAAAACCATGTTTGCTTTCATTGCAAAGATTAAAGATAATTAGCTGGTTTTTTAAAAATAGGAAAAGTAATATTATTATCACTGTCAGATTATATTGATTGAAAATAGTTTTTTAGATACCAGGGAGAATAAGCTAAGAAGTGAGAAAATAAATGAGACTCTTCTCTTCTGTGCTTGGGAAACATAGTTTCAAAATTAAGAGGATATTCTACATACCAGTCTTAATTATGAATTTTAAATATGATTGAATAAATTGTAACAACTTAATTTTGTTTAATTTGGATTTAAAAATAACCACAGCACTCATTTTCTAAGAATGAATAGAGTATTTTTCCTTTCCCCAATCCTAAAAGTTAAATATATATTTTCACAGATACTCAATGTCATTATAAGGGGTAAAGAATTTAAAACAATATTATTACTGTTGCCTTTTAATGTCCAGTAGGGTTTTTATGTTTTTTTTTTGTTTTTTTCTTTTTAGATTAAGTAGCATTGTCAAATACTGAGAGGCAGTACAGTTTAAAGGAGTCAGATTGCTTCAATCACAGCCTACCATTAAATAGCTCTGTGTAACCTTGTATGAGTTTTGTAACCTCTGTGTGACAGTTTCCTCATTTATAAAATGCTTATACTTGATATACATGTGATGAGGATTAAATGAGGTAATGCATTCAAAGTCCTGCCACTTAGTATGCACTCAGCATGTGTAAGCAGTTGTTCTCATCAGAGTTTACAGTTGCTATTTCATGCTAAAGTGATGTGTTATGGCAGGATATTTTTATCTCAAGAAACTTGTTAAACACTGGGGGAAGGAAGGAAACAATTCCCATTCTTAATTTCTGGAAACTGTTTATGTTATATTAATATTTAAAGCATTCTAGTTTGTTGAAGTTTTTTCCCCCAACATTTAATTTTTTTAAATTTATATTTGCATTTTTTTAAATGGCCCTTTTTTTTTTTTTCAAGACAAAGTTTTGCTCTGTCACCCAGGCCGGAGTACAGCAGCATGATCATGGCTCACTGCAACCTTGACCTCCCAGGCTCAAGTGATCCTCCCACCTGAGCCTCCAGAGTAGCAACAGGCACATGCCATCACATTTAGCTGATTTTTAAATTTTTTTTGTAGAGACAGGTAGCCCAAGTTCAAACTCCTGGGTTCAAGCGATCCTTGCCTTGGCCTCCCAAAGTACTGAGATTACAGACATGAACTATAATCTGTCAAGCATCAGCAATATTTTCATGTTTTACCTAGCAAAAGGGGAGTCTGGGAAAGTGGATTGAAATGATTAAGGATTGTTACCTGCACTGAAGAGGTCAGGAAACTTCGGATAAAACTGTAATACTGTGTCAATAGGAGAGTAATAAGTAATAAAATTTATGTGATGTCCAAAAAGTCTTGGAAGCATCAGATAAACTTAATTTCAAATACTGTATTAGTTATACTTTCAAATGATAGGTCCAAAAGTTTTTCTTCAACTTCATATGCCTTTTTAGTTGATATTCCTCTAAATTTGAGGGAGTGGGTTCAGTTGTTAAACTGAAAAAAGTACAATAAATATACTATTTTCCCTGTGTTTTCAGACTTTTGGGGCACGCTGTAGTATTCTTTATGAACTGTAGAAGTTATATAAATGCTCAGATACAAACATAAATCCTATTTAATTAGGCATTTAACAAGTTACCATTTTTAAACTAGTGAAAATGACTTTAACCATAAGACAAATGATAGCCACACAAATAGGTGAAACATGCATGAATAATACACTAATTGGCAAAAGGTAAATGTATTAAGTCCAGACAGACTAATTCAGATTACCAAGTAATTAGACTTCATGCATGTGTAATGATTAAGACTGCTGATGGTTAAGACCCTAGGATTAGCGTCAAAGTGCCTGTTTTTAATGCTGGCTTTACCACTTATCAGTTGTGAGACCTTGGAAAAATGATTATGTACCTCAATTCTTTCATCTATAAAATGGGGGAAATCATAGAATCCACCATAGAGCTAGGTATGTGTTTAGTAATTTATTTAACTAATAATTTTTGTTAAATCAGTGTAGGCATATGCATTTGATTTTTTTTTTCTAATGCTTCCAAGATGATCGTTGCCAGCCCATCAGAAAATGGACAGGTACTTCGTGTAATTCCATCTACCCAGACAGGAATGGCACAAGTGATTATACCTCAGGGGCAGCTTGTGGATGTGAATAGTCCTCGGGGTGAGTAACAATGGGATATAGGGGGTTTGAGAGTGTTTTTAAAACATAAATATTTTAGAAAAATCACCTCTTGAAAGTCAGTGCTAAAATTGATCTCTTTAAGGTAAAGGATTATGAATTGAGTAATTAGAAAACGGTTCCTGGCCCAAATAAATTCAAAGTTCATTTTTCAACTCCTGTCTAGGTTAGCTGTCTATTTCATTTTGGAATTCTATGAAGCTGGTTGATTCCTGCTTCCTCCCAAATGACCAGTGAGCATAAAAAAAATCCTTCTTAATTATAACAGTAACAGTAGCAGCAGCAATAGCAAGAATATAGTGCTAATAGCTACTGAAGTTTTTATTTATATCCTTAACAATTTTAATTTATTTATTTGTTTGTTTTTTGAGACGTAGTCTCGCTCTCACTCAGGCTGGAATGCATTGGCGCCATCTCCACTCACCGCCACCTCTGCCTCCCAGATTCAAGTGATTCTCCTGCCTCAGCCTCCTGAGTAGCTGGGATTACAGGCGCACACCACCATGCCCAGCTAATTTTTGTATTGTTAGTAGAGATGGGGTTTCACCGTGTTGGTCAGGCTGGTCTTGAACTCCTGACCTCATGATCCACCCACCTCGGCCTCCGGAAGTGTTCAGATTACAGGCGTGAGCCACCTCACCTGGCCTCTTTATCAGTATTTTTATAAGCCGTGTTACTCATTGCTTTTTTTTAAAACCACCCTTTTTATCTTCTTGCTCTTTTCCTCTTTCAACTTGGCCCCTTCAGGTTCAGAAAGGAGAATCATGCTTTTTATTTCTCTTTATATATTCTTTCTTTACCTGTTTAATAATATGCCTGTTAGTTCTCTTTTTTTTTTTTTTTTTTTTTTTTTTTTTTCTTTTCTCTATTTTTTTTTTTTTTCTAACCTCAGAGCTGTACTGTTTTGTTGCTTCTTCATAGCTAATGGTTTAGGGCAGATATTTTTACCTTTGTATTAACATTCTTTGTTAATAGTCATTAAGACTTAAGAGAAAAATATAATTTACAGAAAACATTATGAGCACAGTATATAAACAAAATTAGTTTTACATTTTCCTATATATTTATAGAACTCTTAATATACAATTATTTCTACTACTTTTATATCCTGTCTATTTAATATAAATTCTAAAACTTAATTATGAAATTACAATAGTCAGTATTATAAAGTAAACAAGTACCAGAGAAATTCTCAGTAAAGCGTTATTCCTTTATTCTCAATAAATCATAAATTTTCCTTACCTATTACAAATACATAAGCTTTAGTTAGGTATATTCTTATGGTCTTATTCAAGATAGTGATGTTACTTTTTTCTTGTTTTTGTTGTTGAGATGTCCCTGAAGAGAAACCCAGTGACAGAAACTTATCAACTGTAAGCGTGGATACTCTAGCTAACAATCCTAGCAATTACATTCTTCATCCACAGTCATCCTTCACATTGCCCAAAAAGTCAGTAACCAGGTGAGTCCATGCGAAAGAGGAGCTCATCTCTTAATATCGCCATGGAAGTCTTTTTACAGATTATCACATTTAAAGCTGGCTGAATATGGAGAAGATCAGAAAATAGACGGTACTGTCATCAAATATATCTTTAGTTATTTTAAGGCATTTTGGTAATAAGGAGGCTACTTTGGAAGCTATAAATGTCAGAAGCGCCATTTTTCCTCAGTGACATTTGTCATCTTTTGAAGCAGTATGAAAATTTTATTAATTTATTTAATCTGACACTAACAGACTTTTTAGAATAAAGTAACAGTCATTATAGTTCCTAAAATTGTTTAATTGTTTAATCACATTTTTATGCATAGAATTTCTCTGTGGTAATATGTTTAAAATTTTTTTTGCTTTTATTTTAGTTTTTGTTTTTCCTTTAAAATAAAACTATGATATTTTAGGGAAATATGTACATGGTTTATATTATTTTAATTGTTCCATAAAAGTGTTTTTGAATTAAGACAATATTTTGACATTTAATCTTAGAACTTCATAATGTTACTTTTCACTTGATCTTAGCCAAAAGGCCAAGAAGTGACACATAATATTACTCTGAACTAGTCAAATTTATTTTTTTTGATAAATGAAAACAGTTATATAATAAGAGTACAAAATAAGCTTTGGGAGAGATATATAAAACAGTTGAATTTGTTGAGACTACATGTTCCTGGAAGAAGAAACTTAGGTCTTTGACTTAGCAGTTAATAAAATAGTAATGGTTACAGAAAATGATAACTAAAATACCTATCAGATCAATCTGTAGTTATTGTTCAGATCTCTTATTGATAAGCTCAATATATTATCTTTGATATTAAGAAGATAAAGTAATTGAATGCATTTTGTGTGTTCATTGAGCTACATGTTTATATATATTTCTCCCCTATCCCAGAATGCTGGAAGAACCTCTTCTGGCACCTCTTCAGCCGCTTTCCTCTAACACACCTATATGGGCCTGCCGTCTCAGGAGCTGTGAGGTGAGTTAAAAATAATCGCTACCTAGAATTACTTAACTGGTTATAACCACAGTTCATCCCCAAATGCCACTGTTGAATACAACTAATATAGGCTATATTTACAATATTTTGTTTGTGTTTATGTTAAATCTGATCTCATTGATTCTTTAATTCTTAGAGATTCTAAGCTCTGTTAAAGCAGAGGTTATATAAATCTCTTAACATTTTACCATCATTTCTTCTCTTGCAACTCTTCCCTTGCAGTTCATGAAACTTCACTATTATGTTTCTCTGCAATACTTTTCAACTATTTCTTCTCTTTCTTTGCTTGTACTTATTATTATTATTTTTTTTTCATATTATCAGTAGAAAATTCTTCAAGGCCCACTTACCTTGTCTTCTTTCTCTGTATTTTATCTTTTGGAGCACTTACCTACTTTGTTGACTGTCAACTCACATCTATGAAAATGATGTCCAAGTCTGCATCACCAGTTTGTTGTTTGTTTGTTTATTCAGACAGAGTTTCACTGTTTCCCCCAGGCTGGAGTGCAGTGGTGCAATCTGAGCCCACTGCAACCTCTGCCTCCTGGATTCAAGCAATTCTTGTGCCTCAGCCACCCAAGTAGCCGGGATTACAGGTGTGTGCCACCACACCTGGCTAATTTTTGTATTTTTAGCAGAGACAGGGTTTCACTATGTAGGCCAGACTAGTCTCAAACTCCTGACTTCAGGTGATCCACCCACCTCGACCTCCCAAAGTTCTGGGATTACAGGTGTAAGCCACCATAGCTGGCCACCAGTTTTTGAATTCTTCCTTCCTCTTGTCCCAGATATCTGGCTACTTGCTTGAAGGCTTATTTGAATTTTACCTCAAATTCACCATATCCCATACTGAAATCATCTACCATGTGACAAGTAGCTCCACTTCTGAAATTCCATGTGTGTGTAATGACGAGTACCATTTCTTTAGATAGCCAGGCATAACATTTTATACTAATTTCGTCCTTTCCCACATTTTAGATAGTCACCAGATTTTTCTTTTCTTTTCTTTTCTTTTTTTTTTTTGAGATGGAGTCTCCCTCTGTCACATAGACTTGGGTGTAGAGGCACAATCTCAGCTCACTGCAACTTCTGACATCCAGGTTCAAGCAATTCTCCTCCCTCAGCCCCTTGAGTAGCTCGGGCTACTTGCGTGTGCCACCACACCCTGCTAATTTTTGTATTTTTAGTAGAGACGGGGTTTTGCTATGTTGGCCAGGCTGGTCTCGAACTCCCAACCTCAAGTGATCTGCCCACCTCAGCCTCCCAAAGTGCTGGGATTACAGGCATGAGCTACTATGCCCAGCAGTAGTCACCAGGTTCTTTTAGTTTTTCCTTCAAAATGTCTTTTTCTTTTTGGTCCATTTTTCCATAGACCTTTTTCCTGTTGTGCTTGATTACAGGAATAGCCTTCCCTTTGACTCTACTGTTTCTTGACCCTAATGTTCATTTTTCTAAAAGTACTTGTATTTAAAGATTATTTTTATTGTCTTCTTTCAATGCCCAATAAATCTTGTTATTTTTTCCACATAATTTAGCCACTGTAGCTAGGTTTCAAAGCCTTTAATAATCTGGTATTGTCCTACTTTATTTCCTACTTTTCTCAAACTCATCTTCATTCTTGTTAACCTAGTCCTCCTACTTTTGACAGATACTCCAGAATCTTTCTTTTTTTTTTTTGAGACGGAGTCTTGCTCTGTCACTAGGCTGGAGTGCAGTGGCACAATCTCGGCTCACTGCAACCTCCACCTCCTGGGTTCAAGCGATTCTTCTGCCTCAGCTTCCAGAGTAGCTGGGACCACAGGCTTGTGCCACCACGCCTGGCTAATTTTTTTGTATTTTTAGTAGAGACGGGGTTTCACAGTGTTAGCCAGGATGGTCTCAATCTCTTGACCTCTTGATCCGCCCGCCGTGGCCTCCCAAAGTGCTGGGATTACAGGCGTGAGCCAGCACGCCCGGCCTCCAGAATCTTTCTTTAGCTCTCCCTTTACTCATTTTTATTTCCTTTTCCTGTGTGTCACTTTTTTCTTCTACTTGCCATTTCTAACAATTTTTTAAATCCCAGTGCAAGTCCTGCATATCTTTTCTATAAATTACCTAATGATTATTTTAGCCTTCACCTATTTCTCTCTTTAAATTCTTTAGTATTAATTGTCATTCTTAATTATTTACTAGCCTAAGCCAGGTGTGGTGGCTCACTCCTGTAATCCTAGCACTTTGGGAAGCCAAGGCGAGCAGATCACTTGAGGTCAGGAGTTTGAGACTAGCCAGCCTGGCCAACATGGCGAAACCCCATCTCTACTAAAATATAAAAATTAGCTGGGTGTGGTGGCGGGCACCTGTAGTCCCAGCTACTCAGGAGGCTGAGGCAGGAGAATTGCTTGAATTTAGGAGACAGGTTGCAGTGAGCCAAGATCATGCTGCTGTAACCCCAGCTTGCATGACAGAGCAAGACTCCGTCTCAAAAAAAAAAAAAAAAATTTGCTAGCTTGGGTTGTTTAGTGTTACATAACAATTAGACTTTTTGGGAAAGGGACCATGCCTATTCTATATACAAACCATAGATGGTAATAAATATTTAACTATCAGAATGCTTCATTGTTTAGAACAAATCTTAAAATGAGGGAAAGAAAAATATTCTATTTTAATAGTTTGACAAAATTTCTAATAAGAAACCTTATGCTGTGTATATTACATTTGTTAGGACATTATCGTTGTTGCTTTTCTAAGTAGAGTACGTATGTGTATGTACATATGTGTGTGTGTGTATTTTTAGGTTTTTCTCCCCCTACTTTTTGTTAGTCATAGTTTTTTAATGGCTTCCTAAAGTTACTGTTGTGATTGTCTGATGAGGGTTTTAAAAATCATTATTGGGCCGGGCGCGTGGCTCACGCCTGTAATCCCAGCACTTTGGGAGGCCGAGGTGGCTGGATCACGAGGTCAAGAGATCGAGACCATCCTGGTCAACATGGTGAAACCCCGTCTCTACTAAAACTACAAAAAATTAGCTGGGCATGGTGGCGTGTGCCTGTAATCCCAGCTACTCAGGAGGCTGAGGCAGGAGAATTGCCTGAACCCAGGAGGTGGAGGTTGCAACGGTTAGCCGAGATCGCGCCATTGCACTCCAGCCTGGGTAACAAGAGCGAAATTCCATCTCAAAAAAATAAAAATCATTATTATAAACCTCATGGAATGCCATGGATATTAGAGCATTTATTAATACAATCATGCAACCAAATCACCTTATGTTACAACTATGGTGCCTTGTATGGCTTACCTAAAGTCATCATATATCTTGTAAGAAACTGGGTACTACTATCCAACAGACTTGAGTATGGTTGTCCAAGGTGAACAACCACTTCTTTACCAGTAAGGTGTTCTTTCTTCTCTCCCAAGCTCTATCAGTGATAAAATTTTTGGTTAATGGCTAAGGAAATATTTTCTGCCTTTGGTTCAAAATATTGTTTAGTAATCGTTTTTATTTTTTGAATTTCTCATTTAATAATGTTTGATTTGACCAAAAGTATATTAACTAGACAAATTTCAATACTGTACTAAAATTTTATCTTTAGGCCTATTTATAAGTATATATGGTTCTGATTATATTATTCTGATTTTTTTATTTATCGACATATATTCTATTAATTTTATTTATAAATAAATTATAGTGTTACAGCTAAAATTTATACTCATTTATTTGTAGTGAATATTTTGATAAAGAGTTTTCTAGGCTAGCAGAAAAATTATAAACATAAGCAGTTTCATTATTTTTAGAGGAAACTTCAGATAATGTGTTGTTTGGCATCAGATTATCTCTTAATTATTATGACCAAAAGTACAGCCACAACAGTATTTGATACCTTTTTATTTGTTAAATGTATTCTTCCAAAGTAAAATATTTAGTCTAATGAGGAAGAACAAGACTTCTTTGCCCACACCTCTTATTTCCTCTAAGGGGGAAACATACATGGAATCAATTCTAGGTCTATGCATTTCATTGTAAGAGACCACAGTTAACATATTTTCTGTTGGTATAGAAAAAGTTTCTCCTTGGTCGGGCATGGTGGCTCATGCCCGTAATCTCAGCACTTTGGGAGGCCAAGGCGGGCGGATCACCTGAGGTCAGTAGTTCAAGACCAGCCTGGTCAACATGGCAAAACACCATCTCTACTAAAAATACAAAAATTCACCAAGCATGGTGGCTGTAATCCCAGCTACTCGGGAGGCTGAGGCAGGAGACTTGTTTGAACCCGGGAGGTGGAGGTTGCAGTAAGCTGAGATTGTGTCATTGCACTCTAGCCTGGGCAAAAAAAGTGAAACTTCTTATCAAAAAAAATTTAAAAAAAAGGAAAAGTTTCTCCTCTAGTACAGGGATACTCAAATGGTTGTGTGTAGATAATATCAATTTATTTACATTATTTATGCCTTTTCTTGTTTCAGAAAGAATTTAAGAGAACTTACAAAATGTGTAAAATATATTAGCAAGGTAGAAATTAAAAGTGGGAGCTAAACAATAAAGACAAGAATGGGAACATAAAATAGAAGTCTTAAGAAAATACGTGTCTTAACAAACAGTGTGTGTATGTATACATATACTTGTCTGTAATCTAGGTATCTGCTTTTCAAAAGAGGAAATGTAGTTACTAAATCGTGTGCCTGTTAGATTTAAAAATTATGCTTATTTTCGTAATACATAAGCAAACCATTAATTATTTTTGGTACTAAGACCAGACAAATTTCTCTCAGAGAAGGCT